CTATTTCACCATTTCATATTGGAGGTTCTTTTTGCCATATATATCACTTTCCTCCCCCATTTAAACATGTTAGTTAAAAAAAACACATATGTGAAAAACGTCTTTTGCATTCACTCTTTAAAGGGAGGTTGAGACACTGTGTTGCGGTTTACAGCTAGGCTGCAGTATCTATTCTGCCTAACACATCCAATTTCAGCAAACCCGTAATTAGTCACCTTTTACGACATGCTTGTTTGGTCTAACCCCCCCTCCCTCATGGCACCCCTTAATCCTCAAGCAGTACACTGAAAAGACTAACAACATCTACATGGAAAAATGTAGGGAGTGAGATTCGTTAGAATTACTGACAATAAATCAGCCCTGAGTATCCAATAAAGAGTATGTTTGACTTACAAAAAGTGGCATTTAACAAAGGCTAGCAGACTAATTTGGCTTAATAAAAAGTTTCATTAAGAAAAGACATTAGCTTATACAAATATAAAAATTATTTCCAAATATTTATTTTAAAATTATTTGCAATACATAATTATCTACATATTTATAGTTATGTTGTATCCTACCAAGCATTAGTGGCAAAATAGTGGCTAGCGGACTTGTTGTCTCCAACTGCGGTCTGGGTTCAAATCCTAGTAGTGGCTGGATTGTTTCCAAAAAATACAGCTTATCAACTGAGCTTAATTTATTTAGAGCTCATTGGGAAGGAATGGTGCTGACAAAGGAAAAAATGGTCACTTCAACTCATTATGTGACCTGAGTACATAAAGGAATACCACTCAACACTCCTATGGCAGGATCTGTCATGTGTCACCTCTTTTTTAAAATCTAATAAAGGACCCTTTTCCCACACCTTCAGGTGTATTGGGCATAATACAGTATTAGGCTTATATTTTATATACCAATTGGTAGTCGGTGAGTAATGTGGTCAACATCATGCCGCTCGCCTTTACTTCCCAGGACTTCACCTGGTACCCATTTAAGGCTAGGTTGACCTAGAAGCCAAGGTAATTTTTTTTAAAAGTCCGGCTTCATTCAGATTTAAACTCACAACCACTGATTCTGCAGAAGAGCATCTAGCCATTACACCATGGCGGCTTTTTTATTGTTATAATCTAGGATCATAATAAATACCCCAGCAAAAGGCAATCCCATGACTGTCAGTGCTGTAGATGTATCCAGTTACAAGATTTTCTATCTCTGAGACATCTCTGCTACTTATTTCAACTTTTTCATCTGCCCTTAAAAGTGCAACTAGCACATTGAGATGTGGTTTGCAGCATGACCTAGTTGTAAACCACATCAAAATGTACCAACCATTACTTTAAGGCGAATGCAGAAGAAGCTCAATAACACAAAAAGCTGATTTATCTGGCTTTGTATTGGCGTCTGTGAACAGGCTTCGTAATTCCGAGGTGCCAGAATCGATCCCCAGCGGCAGTTGATTTGTTGGCTTGGCAGTGGTATCAAGCGCCAGCTTTCAGAAAGTAATGGCAAACTACTGAACATAAACATTGCCTAGTGAAATCAGCTGAAACATGCTGTGGTTGGTTTTGCAATGTCCTGTAAAGGATAGGCAACTAATTTATCTACTAGCTGTCAACATCTGGCAATGTGCACACAGCTGCATGTGTCAATGATTAATCAAATATGCTTTATGGATCACTGCAAATTACTGATACTTTCTGACAGCATTACTTATTGACACATTGGGCATTCCAGAATCTGTTGGTGAAGACTTCTTCTTCCATCTGAACCACCGTGCCTGAGTTTTTGGTAACACACTGCCACCATGCAGTCTTTTTTAAAACAAAAAACAAAACAAAAAACTATCTTACACTAAGAGTACATTGAGCATCTGGTGCTCGACTTCCCGTTGTGGATTCCTGAACCCCCATTTGGGAGCAAAAGAACCCACCAACTGCCTCTGTAAAAAGAATGTCTAAGCAGACAACTAATTAGGGGTGTTTCCTTCGAAGTCACAGTACATCGGTACACAAATAAGCCAAATCTTTAAAACAGATGTGCAGGCAAAACTTGAATTCTGGAATAAAGTCCAAAAGTGTACAAACAGCCAGAACTTTCCACCAGAGTTTACAGCCATGAACTCTAAAGGGGAGAAGGGTGTTCTGGACACAGCACTTGTAGGGTGATGTGGTCAACATCACATCAGCTACCTTCACTTCCAATTTTTCCAGGTACCCATTTCAGGCTAGACCTGGGAGCTAGGTAATTTATTTTTTAAATCTGCCGGGGTGGATTCAAACCCAAGAGCTTCAGGCCAACAGGCAAGCATCTATCTACATGGCTCCAATCATGTGCCACTGACAACTCAAATAAGCTTTTCTTGGCCACCAAAGTATGTTTAACAAACACCGGTTGCTTTAAGGAGAAGCTGTCTCACTTCCTGATGTGTGGACTAACCCAGTCAGAAGATGCACTTGATTAAATACAGTGACAAATACTCGGCAATAAATTATGCATTCTACTTTGGGTCACAACTGTTTAAATTTACAGTTGGGAAATGTATATTTTAGTTCTTGAAAAAAAACTACATGTAAACAAGCCAATATGAGATTCCATTCAGTGAAAGACAAAAGTATTACAATATGAGAAATTATATTCACATCATATTAAGTTTTCTGTCTTGGTCACTCCTTCACTATTGTAAGGTGTGGAAGACAATAAGACACTGCAATCATGATATTCTTGAAAATGAGCTTTCCAGCCACCATAATGTTGCCTCTGCTGTACAAAATATTCCCTCAGTAATTATAAACTACACCCAGTCTGCATATATGTGAAACAATCTTTCAGTATTTAATTGTGTTTATTATTCGGAAACAGTGTGTACTTATGCACTATTGCATGTGCAGTGCTGGCTTTGAGACTAAGCTCTTGCATCAACAGCGGCCAGCAATTCTAGTGGCAGACTTCTAGCACTGGCATATCTGACAGCATCAGAGCCACCATAGTGAACAGCTAGACACTGGTCTGAGGATCCAAAGATTGTGGGTTCAGGTCCTGACAGAGCTGGACTTTGTTTTTCAAAAATGAGCCTGGCACTCAGGATGACCCAGCCTAAAATAGGTACCAGGTAAAGTCCTGGGAAGTAAAGGTGGTCAGCATGATGTTAACCACATCACACACCAAGTACCATTTGTCTATAAAATATAGGTCTAGCCCTATAAGCACAAAATACCTAAAGGTGTGGAAAAAGATCCTCTACTGTTCCATCTGACAGCTGCCTTATGCATTTACTTTGCATGTGCAAGTTTCAAGTTTTTGATGGGACTGATATGTTTTTTCAAATGAACATTTTGTATGATTTCCACCAGCACAAGAACGGAGCAGTCATTATGGCATCCTGTCCTAAGTAAAGTTTGAACCTCTACTAGAAGTTGGACCCTCCACACACAAAAAAAAAAAAAGGGTTCTCCCCGTGCAGGGTTGGTGGAAAGGAACGTGGGATAGACCCAATGCTCCTCAACAAGCAGGTCATAAAAGTTGACTAACTAATGATTTGCTGAAACTGAATGCGCTGGGCTGAATAACACACATATCACAGCCTAGCTGCAAAACCACAACTCAATGTGCCAACCGCCCTTTAAAGGGCAAATGCAGAAAAACTAAAATTCGCATTAATTTCTAGGCACATGCCTTGAGAAGTATAAAATGTTTGATCATCAGTTGCTCATAAATATAGAATGCTTCAATTATCTTGTGCAATTGAAGCCTGACCAATTTCCCTTTTCTCTCTACAACTGTAAAATATCTTGTTTCAAAGCATAAGGGAAAGAGCCAGATGCAGATCGATTTATAATATCAGAGATATTCTACAGTGGCAACAAATCTGATTAGTCAAAAGAACACAGCTGGCATAAGGTACAAATCTCAATACTCCCCACAAATTTTAACTCCAAGCAATGACCACAAGAAAATCCCACAGTTGGTTCAGTTCACAAAAGGACACTAGTGGATAAAATAAGAGACATCAATCAGTGCAAGAATAATATTTAGCAAATTGACATTTCAAATGTAATTTACGCTGCAGAATTATTTGACTTATTGTCTGTCTGTGTTTGTAATGAATCGTATAAGTTCTGAAGCTGGATAAGAAATCCAGGATTTGGACAAATAGCTGGTCGTTTAGATCGGAGGTGAGAAAAAGCTTCATTCACTGTCATCCCTTCCTTTTTGATTAAGTATGCCATGACAACAGTGGCAGATCGAGACAATCCAGCATTGCAGTGAACCAGAACGGTTCCATTCGCTTTTATAGCCTCCTCGATAAAATTAATAGCACTTTCAAATCCATGATATATAGGAAACTCTGGCAAGTCAAGGAACTCCTGAGTCTGATATATGAACTGGTCAGGGAACAAGTTATCCACTCCTGTGGCAACGTTCAGGATATGTGTCACACCGTGCTGCTTTAGTAAATCCAAGTCATGGGCAACATCTTGCGACCCTGCAGGTGGGAAGAAAATACAAAGCTGCTGCATATAGAAAAGAAGAAGTATTAAATGACTACAAACTGTTCACCGGATGTAAGCTACGGCAGAAAGTCCTGGTTGTTCGTCAATTTAGACTTTGGCGTTGTGTCAAGGCTTGAGTTATGTGTGCACAAACCTTTTACTGGCTTATTCATGAGCAGCTGGTTGTTCTTTGATGCTTGGGCAGATGCACTTCAACTTCGAAGGAAGCCCCCAATTAGTCAACTCCTACGACATGCTTACTGGAGAGGCCTTGGGTCTATTCTTGTTTTCCCCACAATGGGGCTCTGGAACCCACATGGGAACTGCAGTTTCTAATAATGAAAACTTACACTTGATATATTAAACAGCTACCAGTTTGATACTGAAATGCAGCCAAAAGCTGTTTACAATTTCTTAAAGTGGTTCACAGGCATTTATAAAAAAAAATTTTAAAAAAAAAACTAAAGGATTCACCCAACAGCTGTTTTCTTCCTGGGAACTGGCTGGAATTTGTCGACAATGAAATACCTAAACCTTATGGAGGAATCATGACTAACTAGTCAGCTCTTGTTTTCAAAATGAAACATGACCTGGTTATATCGGGATATACCTCTGTGATGTTTTAGTACAAGTCTTTTATATGGCACTGGTTTGTGGGCTTGGAGAGGGGAATGAAAGCTCAGCAACACAGCCCTATGGATATAAAAATAGTATACCAGAGTGGAAGGTACCAGAATAAAAGAAAAGTGTCTACACTAAACCTTATTCTGACAGACGCAAGGCTTTTTCTGCAATCCAGAAAATATAGCCCAATACAAATGGGGTCAAGACCATAGTTTCGGTTTTGTTGTTGTTTTTTTTAGAACTGTTAGCAATAATGGGGCTAACAGGAGTAATATCAAGCAGTTAATCTACACGGTTCTAAACAGTTTGTGCACAATGCTGAGAATCTCCTTATGTAGTCTATAGGAGAAGACTGGAGAAGATAAGGAGATAACTGAGTGACACAAAAGTAATCATCTAACAGCAACAATGAAAAGAACAGAAGTACATTCCTGTAAGAGATCTCAAAAAGTATCAGCTTTAAAATTATATTTACAATATTTTTCATTTTTTTTAAATCAAGAGGCAGTGTTTTTTTTCTGTAAAAACATGAGAGAAAACATTTTGACCAAAAAAAATTACTTGAATATTTTTTACAGAAACAAGAACATTTGGCCACTTGTGATTGCACTAGGTAGTTCTTTTACATTTAATAATTTGCCATTGCTCCCTAACAGTCGACTCTTAATGCCGTTGTTGAAATCAATGCAAAGTAGTCTGCTGCCAAATCACTTGCAGCTGGAATCATACTGTGCCTTCAAAATCTAAGCAACAGAGGCTGACAAGAAAAATGGAGACGCTGAAGAAAAGGATATTTATATCTCATGAAAGAGATAAATAGAATGATTAGATAAAGCTAACCATAGTAGCTGAAGTATCAAGCAATAGAAGGAGAGACAACGAAATTGTCAATTTCTCTGATCATGCATGTCCTTTTAACTAAAAATATTTTATACAGGAAACTTTAAAAAAAACATACCCATAATGATACCAGGCCTAACTTCTGCAACCTGCAGGTCTTCAGCTGTGTCCAAAACAAATCCATGACAACTGGATTCAGAAGGCCTCCGGTAAAGATTGCCCTCTTCATCTTTACCTTCAATAATGCGGCTCCCATCAGGATTAGTAACGGTTGTTTCAGTTTTCCGCAAAGAATTTTTGTTGAAACATTTGACATCAGACAGATTCAGGGGAGGTGGTCTGAAGCCATGCCCAGCCATCCGAAGATGTGCTAATTTAGAATCTTTTTCAAAATAAAAAAGCAAAAACAAAAAAAAGTGTACAAATGATAACTATTTCAGAGTAGCCTTCTATTCTTCTTCTTCTTTTTCTCAACACCTTTCGGCCCAGCACATCCTAATTCAGCAAACTCTTAATTAGTAACCTTGTATAACAAGCAAACAAGTATTAAGAACTGAAACAGAGAAGAGTTTACAGAACGATACAGATTAAGTAAATTCTAAGTGTGAGAAATATAATATGAATATAAGCATTGATAAGACAGAGGTAATGATAATAAGTAGACAAGTAGAAACCTTATCAATTAAAGTAAATAACAAAGAAATACAACAAAAGAGCAAATTTAAATATCTAGGGTCATTTTTCACCTCAGATAGGAGAATGGACAGAGAAATCAACATACCATGTGTAAAAGCAAATCAGGTTATGAGACAATTAACACCGCTTCTGACGCCTAGAAAGGTACCTCTGTCAACCAAGGCAAATCTCATAAGAACAGGTTTTTGGCCAACATTGTGCTAAAAGTGCCAAACATGGACCTTTACTACAACTAATGAGTGGAAGATTGTAACAGCAGAGATGAGATAACTTAGGTGAGCTGCTGGTGTGACAAGAAGAGACAAAATCAGGAATGAAGAAAGTAGAAGAGGACTAAGACTTAAACCAGTCACACAATTCATTAAAGAACAACAAATGAGATGGTTTGGCCAGAGGACGAGATGCCCTGGTACCAACTGCCACAGAGAGCCATGCTGACGAAATATAATAAACACAGAGCAAGGGGAAGACCATGCAAGAAACTGAGCAACACCATCAGGAGCAAATTAACAGAAATGAACAACTTGTACAATGCATTGGAAAAAGTGCACAAACGATCCTTACATTTCCCCCCAGCATCTCACTGAGGTAAATGGTGGAAGAGAAGAAGAAGAAGTATATATCCTAGTTAGGGGAAGTGAGTCTACTCTTTTTCCTCTCCCTATGGAATAATTAGGTAAATCTGTTCATTCATTTACAAGCAAATTACAACGGCATCTGTGAATTAGGCGTTCGGATTCGATCCCATCTTTAGACGGTTTCTCTTGTGTTGGTTTTAACAGTGGTAATGAGACCTAACCAATTAGAAAGAAATGGTAAACTAATTAAAGTAAAATTTGCCTACAAAAAAACAGAACACCTAAAAAATGATGGAGTTGGCTCTGCAACGACCTATAAAGGATACTAAAGAACTAAACAGGCTCCAGTGGACCAAGAGGTGAGGAAAAGACGCTGGCGTTGTATAGGACACACACTGAGAAAACCGGAGAACAGCATAACTAGAATGTCTTTGCATTGGAACCCACAGGGGCATAGGAATAAAGGAAGGCCAAAAAACACATGGAGAAGAGAGCTGGAGAATGAAGTAAAAAAGATGAGGACGTGGGGAGAGCTCCATGCAATGGAGAAGGATAGAACAACTTGGCGTGAGTTGGTTGAGGGCCTATGCTCCATTGGGGGATAAAAAGGCAGAAGAAAGAAGAAGATAAAGGATACACAACTAACCTTTTTTTTTGTTTTAAAGTTTCAACAATATTGTCTTTTTTTCTAGAAAAACAGTGCCGGAATCACCCCAAAATAGATTGGTACTCATGACAAATGACCTTTTAAAGAAGCATTTAAAAAATGATGCATAAAGGAGTGCTGGTACTTCACCATTGCGTACAGTCAGAAAACAAAAAGCTCTGGTTTTAAAGGGCTGTAGCATGTATTAACTCCTGTTTTTAGTAAATGCTCAGTAAATACCACACCAGGTCTTTACATGTTGTTCTATTTTAACATGGGAAAGACAAAACTCATTAGCACATTCAAATATCCAGTTGTTTCAAGTAGGAGAGATTTGTCAATCTTATGTAGTTCACCTAACAGCGTTGTAAAATAAGGTAATTGTCCATATGCCCTCCAGTTGCCTATCGGGTATATGAGGTTAGACATATTTTTATAGACCCATCAGCACTCAATAAGTTATATGGTCAACATCATGCTGGTCGCCTTTACTTCCCAGGACTTGAAGTGGTACCCATTTGGTACCCACCTGAGAGTTATGGCCGTGTTTTAAAAAAAATCGAGCTTCATGTGCATCTGAACCTACAGCTTTTGGATCCGCAAAGGAGCATAAGAGTGTAGTTGTAAACATGTATCCCTCTGACGCCTAGTCTTAGGAAGGATACACAGGCACATGGCAAAGGCTTCTGGGCAGGAATACCTCTTCCAGTTGACCAGCACCTACAGATCTCTTCACTGCAAACAACTACTACTATTTTCAACTACTACCAGCGAATATCATGAATATGTAAGTTACATATTGCTACAATAACAATAAACGGAACTCACCTTTACTGATATAATATATTTAATGCTATACGATATGGTTCCAGTGCGTTGTGTGTGATTCTCAAAAGTAACTAACTTCAGTGACGTAGGAAGCAATAACTAATGACTGTCACTTCATCACAAGTCGACAACAACAAAAATTGTCACAAAAATACTCAGTTAGGGGTCATTATTTTTGAGTTAATATAATATTATAGCATATAGCAAAGCACGTTATTTACTCTAATTTGCCCCTTTCTTGAAAATAACACGGAATAACTACGATATAGCAAAATAGTTTAGGGAGGTAATTTGCAAAAAATCGCAATCAATGTTACTTTACTAGTTTACTTTTTTTCTGTTGAAAATTATTAAAATTTTAAATTCGGATAATTATTTTAAATTTATTATTCAAAATAACATAACGAATGTCTTGGATCGTCTAATACTAAATACTACAGAAAGTTCGCATGGCTTCTAGAATTATGATACTTCATTTTCGGTAGAAATTCATATTCAAAATAAATTATCGCGGCTGCTATTATTTACCCTGATCTGTAATCTCTGCAAGTCTGCCAGCAAGCCAGTCTGACAGTGTTGCCACTTTTCTTTGACAAAAAAGATCCAAAACGGGGTTTAAAAATATCTAAAAAGATCTAAATTTGCGTGGAAAATATTTAAAAAAATATCCAAATGAAAATAGTCACAAATTACAAAACTATTGAAATGACTTACCCTATAGACACATGTCCTCATCTTCACTGATGTCTGCTTCACAAGATCCACAGGATAAACTTAGCTTGGATGATGAAGTTGAAGCTTCAGATCCCAAATTACTCTGGTATGCTTTAGCTGTTCCAATTTCTTTTAATACACAATCAGGGAGCTGATAAGTGGAACAGCATTTTCCTACTCTCATCAGGCCAAACTTTATTGTCAAGATAGCATTTAAGAGGTCTAATTTCATCCTGTTTCTTAGGTTAGATTTGATGTAATTCATAGCACTGAAAACTCTTTCTACGTCAGCATTTGAGTTGGGTAGTATCATGGCAGACATGGCACATTCAAAGAGTTTACAGAATGGACTGTTTGATGAGGCATCTTTAAATTGTCTCACTTCACTCCAAAACGCTTCAGTTTCTGTTTTGTTTTGTCCATTCAACTAAGATTATTTTGGTTAACTGATATTCTGCTTCCGCGACACTATTGTCAGTAGCCCCTAAAAATTTCATAACTTTACAATATTTAGGTATGTCCTTTACTGGCTGAAGTATGTTGCTCACAGAAAAGAGTGAAATATGTTTCAATACATCTAGATTTTCAGGAAGTCTCTGCTTTAGTTGCTTGAATAATGAGATAAGGAAATCTTGACAGCGTTTTCTTAAGTTGTTCTCTTCATTCTCTGTTAACAGTCCTTTTGTTTTTAAATCATCAATTTTTGATTCAATTTTGATATCCAAGGTATGGCTTAAGAGCCAAATAGCTCTCTATAGTGCAAGTGAGCAAATCAACTTTTGAAGTTGGCAACACCAGTCTTTTACCAACTGAGTAAAATAGCAAAGTGAGATCGTCAAGTAATTTAACTTTATCAACATGTTTGGATTCGAACAGTTTATTAACTTTTTGCACTTCCATTAGAAAAGGTTGTAAAAAGAGAAGGAATGCCAAATTTTTTTTTCATCACTGTACATTCCATATAGTATCTCAGTTGTGTAGCACTTTTCACTTTGTCTTGCTATTTCAAAATGTGTCTTTAACTCCAACCATTGGTTCACAATTCTTTCAACAGCTGGTTGTATTGATAACCACCTGGTTTTGCAATCTGACAGAATTTTCAGTGGCGTGGGACCATTATTTAAGGCTGAATACAATGCATTGTATTGCTGTTGTCTGACAAATTATTTTGAAAACCAGTTATGTGTTTCAGCAATAAGGTATTCCAAATTCCTTGGTAAACATTCAGATGAAGCATGTGATAATGCTAGCTGCAATGAATGACACATACATTTTATAAGTATTAACGATGGGATAGCTTCCTTCAACTTGGTATAAACGCCGTTGTTTATACCAACCATCACTGAGGCATTATCGGTACCAATTGCAACCAAATTTGTCAAGTCTAACTGTTTGCTGATTAAAAGGTTCTTCAGTTCTTGAACTATACTTTCTGCATCACACTTTTCCAATTGAACTAGTCCAAGATATGTAGAAACTACTTTGTCTGTATTGTTGCTGTAATATATAATACACACACCAAGCACTTTCAGTACCGAAATATCATTTGATTCGTCTAATAATAAACTATATTTATTTGTAGAAATATCACTGATCAAACCTTTTTCGAAGTGAGAAAATAAAGTATTTCTTATAATATGTGTACACTAGCTGCGATGCATTTTCACATCATCCATAACTTTACTGTCAGAAATTGTGTTTTTAAACAAATCAATCAAATGGTCAGTTTGAATTGCACAATGGCAACTTAAAAACATTGCGACCGACCCTTCAACTTTTGATGATTCATTTATCAGTGTAGTTCTGAAAACAGATGTCAGCGGTGTAATATCTTTGAATGGAACTGCAGTTTTATACTTGTTAGTCTCTGCATGCTTCTTTAAGTCTTGTATTTTCG